GTTGACCGTGGAATATTTAGTAGCCAGGAAATGTCACGGATGGACTTATTGTACAGGTGGCAACCTATCACGGTACCACGCTTGATTTCACTGAGCTCCTGAGAGCGACCCATTCTTTCAGAAATGTCTGTAGAAGCAGTCTGCATGCCTAGGTGCTTGATTTTATAGTGGCCATGGAGGTGATTGGAACACCTGAATCCAATGATTTTGAGGGGTGTCCACATACTTTTGGCAGTATGTATTTATTGTACATTCACATCGGACCCTGCCCTCAAGGAGCTTACCATCTCCGGTCCCTATCTCACATACACAATCACATACTCGGGCAAATTTAGACAGGAGCCAAATATCCAACCAGCATGTCTTTGCAGTGTTGGAGGAAACTTACATAAGCAGAAGAATATGCAAGCTCCATGTAGGTAGTGTCTTAGTTGGGATTGTAACTGATGGTCCTAGTGCTCCATCAAGAGAAGCAGGTTGGAGAAGAACACCTGTGGATATCAGTCTGTCTTAATCCAAGTTGCCTGGATGGGATCCATTGTATTCTATCAGGATTTAAATATTTAATGTGGCACAATTTGTAGTTATCTTGGTCCTTTGCCAGGCAAGCTTTCTGCTCTGTAGAACACTATAGAGTGCACATATACTGGTTTATTTAACAAGGCAATAAAAAAAGGGTCAGGACGCCGTGCTTTACACAGGCTAGAAATATTGCTGTGTAGATTTCAAATAAAATCCAAGGTTTCCACAGTGTCTCCTTTCATCCGCCAAGAGATTGTCCCCTTCCTGCAGATCATGGTGCTTGCTCCTAAAGCAGACCTATCTCCATAGGTCATGGGGGATAAAGATAGGTCATTTTCCATTCCTGCTCTAACATATAAATCACTATTACATTTTTATAACATTGGTCAGCAGCTCCAGACTCTTTGGTTGTCGGTCCTAGAACACAGGACCAAGGGCACCCAGATGGGGGTGTACACGTGCCACTCCTGTCATGCTTCAAGGTTGCGGCAAAAATGTTCCATTGGCAGGTAGAACCGCCATTGATGCTGTGCTGCAACTGCATGCAATGAGATGCAAACCCAACCCAAGAGTGTGAAGAATTGAGGAATGGGCGGTGGGACAGGTGAGAATAAACATCCTTCTATTGCAGGTTGTTTGTTTTAAGGCCTTATTCACACAGGCGAATCTATCCATACATCTGTGCAAAAAGCCCTTTGCCCACATGGGATGTACAGGTGTCCAATGAATCCGCATTCAGGCAATCTCATCGATGTCTATTGGGGTGCAGCAGCTGCATGGACATGGTCCCAATCTGTCAGCCACATGGGTGCCAGTCCCCATATCTACATTGCATTTTTATAAAAGGCATGTAATGATGTATTAATGATTACAGAGCTGCAATCATTTGAATCTTTTTTATTATTAGATTGTAAGCTCTTATGAGCAGGACTCTCTTAACCATCTTGTATTTTATTGTATTGTACTGACACCCTTAATATTATAAAGCGCTGTGCAAACTGTTGGCGATATACACTGTAAATTCTGTACAATAATAATATTAATACGAATATTCTGCCTGGAATTCATTTTTAAGGTCACATATCCTAGCGTCACCAACCCTAACCCCTTACCATACATGAACTGATAGAACATGTGCTGTCATCATACGCTGCACTGACTTACACTAACAAAGGATACCAGGCATACATTAAACCAGTATTACACCCTCAGCACTTTTTAGCTTAGAATGAATCTGAAGGCTGAAGTTTTTTTTTTTTTTTTAACTTACTGTAATGCATTCTGTGCATTACAGTAAAAAACCCTTCTGGGTGCAGCTCTCCCCTCAACCCCCCCTATTCTCCTTATACCTATCTGAGCCCCATCTTGATCCAGTGACGTGCATGAGAGCCACAGTTCTACCAGGTCTTTCTTTCCTCATTGGATCACACAGCAGAAAACGCCATTGGTTCCTGCTGCTGTCAATCACAGCCAGTGAGCCAATGAAGAAAGAGAGCGGGGGGGGGGGGAGCCATGCTGTGTGTGTGAATGGACATTGTCTGCTCGAGTGCACCCATAGCAAGAGGCGGGGGATCCAAAAAGAAGAGGATCAGGGCAGCTCTGTGCAAAACCATTCTGCAGAGCAGGTAAGTATAACATGTTTGATTTTTTTTTTTGTTTTGGTTTTTTTAATGCTTCCTTCAGAATCACTCTAACACACTGAGCCAAAAAATAAACATTCCTCAGTAAAGTAACTGCTAAAACTGGCTCCTGCTGGTGCTGGCTTCTGCTCTCTTATTGCTGCTTCCCTGAACTTCTGCTCTTCACAAGAAAGCATTAAAGGAGAAGTGCAGCCAAAGCTCTTTTGGCTGTACTTCTTGTGTGGATCACAGGAGTGAGGTTTATTCTGCACTCCTGTGACCCGTTTTCAGCTGACAACGGGCTGAAATACGCTGTCGGCTGACATTACTCAGCCAGTCCAGGCTGGGGAAAGATCCCGACTTTAAATCAGGATCCACTCCAGAGTATGAAGCTGGACCTGGCTCAGCCTCTCAGTGAAGTGCCGAGAGCCTAAGGCAGGCCATACATTATACAATTATCTGCAGATTTTCTGCCCAATTTCCTTTAGATTTACCTTCAACTAGTAGTGCAAGGGACTGCCTAATTGGATACAACTGAAAGTGTTGTTTAGGTTTGTCCTCCTATTATATGGTTTTGGGTAAATCTAAACCAAAAATCTGCAGATAATTGTAAATGTATGGCCAGCCTAAGCCAGCCGCTCCCTCCCCCTCCACAGCCCAGCGCCCTCACAGTCACCGCTCTCTGCTCACAGCAGCAGTGAGAACTCAGTGATCTGCAGTCATATACCGTAATTGCTGAGTTCTCACACTTTGAGGTGGGGGAGGGGGGGGCATGCAGCATCAGGACGATTCTGCATCTACCTAGGTAAGTATAATTTGCAAAAAAAAAAGAAACCCAAACTTCTCTTTTAACAGTGGACAGAGCAGTCAGTCTCTCAGCTTGGAGAAGGGGAGGATGGAGCAGCAGCAAGTGCCTTGCCATCCCAGGCTAGGGGGCTGTGTGTTTCTATTGATGCACACAGTGTAGGAGACACAACTGTAGTCCCTGCATGCAAGGGTGGCTCCATAGGATTCTGCAAGAGAAAGGAGCCACCCTAAAACAGGAAACCTGGCGGTCATGGCATTGGCTTAAACTAGAACATAGGCCAGGGATAAAAGGGAAGAAATCGAGGTTGCAATTGCTGAAGTTGTGAAATAGACAAAAGTTGTGAAATAGACAAAAAGACATTTGATTATCATGCATGATATGATAAAGAAAATATAATATAATAATACAAATCCAAAGTAATAAGTAAAGAGACTCTCTGTTCTTTCCTTGTTTTCGCTTAATTTTTGTGCATTTCTATTGTCATATGAGGATTTGTTCCTGCAATAGGGTAACTAGGAATAAGAAGTGGCAACCTAAAAAATTTAAAGAAGCAGAACTTAAGAATGATAAGGGGCAAAGAAGATTCACTGCCCTAATGACTCCCTCCATCTCCTGAAGATCAGGTACCTGGCCAGAAAAGAGCCTGTCTCTGTACACCATAGAAAGAATGAGTGGCCACACCCCGATGGTCACCTAAATAAAATAAACTTTATTCCAGAACACAAAACATGCTGATGGTCCTCGTGTGAAGACTGCCTCCTGTTGACGCGTTTCACCATTACAGCCTAGAAGAATCTCTTTTATTCAACACTTGCATCTCTTAAAGGGACATTGAAAAAAATCACATGGGATGGATTTATGAGAGACAAATGGCCTGTGCACTATGCAAGTGCAGTTGCACTCATTTTCTCCAGAGTGTGGTAAAGCTCTTCTAATTTCCATCATCCAATCATGTGCAGGCAAAAAAAAATTTTTTCTTCCTTGTTTTTTTGGGTATTCTTTACAAAGTGACACTTTACCACATTTACATTTACTAAGGAAAATGAGTGCAACTACACTTGAAAAATGCACAGTTTATTTGCCTTTAGTAAATCAACCCCATTATTTCCATGCAGTATATCAGATCAAACATCCAATCTCACACAAGCATGTTCATAAAAGATGAAATAGATAAATACAAAAACATACAAAGTGTGTATTTTCCTGATGATAATTTCTAAGAGAATGCTGTTTCTTATTGTGTTTTTCTGCCTTCCTGAACATCCACTGTGAGCTCCCGAACCTCTCCTTTCCTGCCTCACTTCCCTTTGTAATGGCAGAGCACATTAGTTGTGGTCATATACAACTGCTTCATGCACAATCCATAGTCTATCTTGGGAGTGAGCAAGAGAGGGTGGCTATGTTCCTACACACAGAGGGACCATGGAGGATGAATTTAGCCTTCCTCTAACTGGAAGTTAGATCACAGCAGCAAAAAAAAAAAAAAAGGAATTTGGAGCTTTGGAGGAGGCTGAGAGCAATGGAAGGGATTAAGAATATATACTTGAAAATATATATTTTTTTTAACCAGCGTTTACTGTCACTTCCCAACTGTCCATAGCCTATAAACGGCGCACAGGAAGCAATGCCGATGCAGGCTAACACACCTGTATGTCAGCCCGCATCGGTGGCTCCTGTGCAGCTCACAGAGCGTGCACCTGGGAACGCGGAAATCTGTGTGTCATCTGGACACAGTGGATCACATTACCGCAGTGTCCAGGTGATCGCATGGTGTTTTACCATGTGATTGCTGTGTCCAATCACAGCAATCACATAGTAAACAATGCAAAGTGAAAGTAGGCATCAGTTCTCTCTGTTCTCACTGTGAGAGAAGAGAGAGGATATGCTGCAGCATGTAAGTGTACAGCAGCCTGTCAAGATACATGTAACCTCACAGACTACTGTGCCAGACAGCCCAGTGTCCCTGATCACTGTCCCAGTGTAGTCATAATACATAATGCATCCAGCCCTGTCACTTGTCCCGTGCTCACAATAACACTGCCATATATCATACCAGCTCCCTGATCACCACCAAGTCTCATACCAGCATCATTATCACCACCATACGCCATACCAGCATCCTGATCACCACCATACACCATACCGGTATCCTGATCACCACCATGCCTCATACCAGCATCCTGATCACCGCCATACACCATACCAGCATCCTGATCACCGCCATACACCATACCAGCATCCTGATCACCTCCATACACCATACCAGCATCATTATCGCCACCATATGCCTTACCAGCATCCTGATCACCACCATACGCCATACCAGCATCCTGATCACCACCATACCCCATACCAGCATCATTATCACCACCATATGCCTTACCAGCATCCTGATCACCCACCATGCCTCATACCAGCATCATTATCACCACCATACGCCATACCAGCATCCTGATCACCACCATACACCATACCAGCACCCTGATCACCACCATGCCCCATACCAGCATCCTGATCACCACCATACACCATACCAGCACCCTGATCACCACCAAGTCTCATACCAGCATCCTGATCACTGCCATACACCATACCAGCATCATTATCACCGCCATATACCACACCAGCATCTTGATCACTGCCATACATCATACCACCATGCCAGTATCCTGATCACCGTCATACCCATTACCAGCATCCTGAATTCCGCCATACACACTATACCAGCATCCTGATCACTGATCACCGCCATATACCATACTAGCATTCTTATCACCACCATGCCCCATACCAGCATCCTCATCACCACCATGCCCCATACCAGCATCCTCATCACCACCATGCCCCATACCAGCATCCTGATCATCACCATACCCCATACCAGCATCCATGATCACCTCCATACACCATACCAGCATCCTGATCACCACCATACCCCATACCAGCATATTGATCACCACCATACCCCATACCAGCATCCTGATCACCGCCATATACCATACCAGCATCCTGATCACCACCATACACCATACCAGCATCCTGATCACCACCATACCAGCATCTTGATCATCACCATATACCATACCAGCATCCTGATCACCACCATGCCCCATACCAGCATCCCGATCACCACCCATACACCATACCGGTATCCTGATCACCAACATGCCTCATACCAGCATCCTGATCATCACCATATACCATACCAGCGTCCGGCATTTAGGGTCCCAAGAATTTTCAGATATTTATCCCATATTTCTCACAGACTAATAAAATACACTGTTTTTGGTTATTTTTACCAAAAAAGTAGCAGAATACATTTTGGCCTTCATTTATGAAGAAAGAATATTTATTTGCAATATTTTTTACAGTTTCCGTATTTTTTTTCATTTATATAGCAAAAAATAAAAAAAACAGCGTTGATTAAATTCTACAAATAGAAAGCTCTATCTGTCTAAAAAAAAATTATAAAAATGTCATATGGGTACAGTGTTGCATGACTGAGTAATCGTCACTCAAAGCTGAAAATTGGTCTGGACTGGAAGGGGGTGAAAGTGTCTGGACATGAAGTGGTCAAAGACCACCTTAAAGACACGCCGTCACCTTGTCCAAAGTGGCAGTGCCTTTGCAAAAGGGACCCCACACCCTTTGATACCCCTCTGCCAATACTCCCTGCCACTCCATTCTCCTTTGCAACTGGCTATAATACCCATGCTTCCAGGTATGGGGGCGCATGTCACCTCCTTCCAGTGTTTGGGTCTAGCAGCCAATCGCTAGTTCTCTCAGCATGGTCACAAGAATGACAGAGAATTACATCACTGCTCCCCCTACTGTTTGATACCAGATGACACAGGATTTTTGTGCTGCGATAAAGGAAGAAGCTTCTCTTTTTCACTCTACCAGAAGCTCCATTCACACCTAAGCAGGTGCGACAGTTCGTGCATTACATTTAGGGCATCTTATTTCAATGGGCTGCCTTACACACGAAAAATACACCACAGAAGTGCAAACACCTTTTTTTTTTTTTTTTTTAATGTGCCACATCAAAAGGCATGTTATGGTATTACTGTGCATTTTGGTGCACAATTATGCATAGCAAGGTGCATTGAGGTGCCATTAAGAATTAATGGTACCACTGTTCTCCTACAAAAGGTTTTTGTGTAAAATATGCAGGCTCCCACATCACACAATGTGAACCTAGTCGTAGGGCTCATTCACATCACAACCCTATCATGCATTTATAATGCATTTGTGGTGCATTTGCAGTAAATTTGTGGTGCGTTTGTATAGACATTGTTTTAATTTTTTTTTATTACTGAATTGCATTTACATGCAATCTAAGGCTCATGTACACTGCAGCTGATAAACTCATGTTTAGGAGCCGTTCAGCATTTTTTTCAGCAGCCCCTGAACTCTCCATAATGTTTTCCTATGTGTCCATGTACACATCGTCGTTTACAGTCATTTTTTTTTAACGCACCAAACTTGCATTCAGGAGTAGATTTCCTCAGCATTTCAATCGCCAAACGCTTGTAAATGTGGCTTACCGCGTTTATAAGCATTTGTGTTTGGACATTTTTTTTACTCTTCCATTTCCAGATGCTGTCCAGAGCCCTTTTTTCATCTTGAAAAATGCATCCAAGCATTTGCCCAATACTCAAATGGACCTGATAAACCATACTTTGAGGTTTCGCATGAAAGAAAATATATGTTAGACACTGCTGCAATAATTTCTGCACAGAAATGAGCTGGAACACATCCAAACACCACAAAAAAAAAAGACAGCTAATCTCAACACATACTGCTCTCTCGATTTCTCTCAAAATGTCTGAAATAGTTAATTGTTTACTGTTTTTCAGTGAATTCTGGGCATTTTGGAAGGTCTCCTGGGGTTATCTTTAAAAAAAACTGCTTCAAAACGCAAACGCGCATTAAACGCGGTATGCAAACGCGGCTAAACAGACGTTTTTTAACCTACATTTTCCAGCAATTTCCATCGTTCAGAAGTGTTTTCCAAATGTCCCGTGTACATGGAGCCTAATGCGTTTGCATGTGGAAAAGTGCAGCAGGGTGTACTTTTTTTTTGAAATGCACATAAAATCATTGCAATGGTGTAAATCAGGCTAATTGAAATAAGTTTTTCTCATATGCGTTCATACTGTGCTTCAATGGGCAGCTGAGGTTTCTGTGCTGGGAACTCGCTCACTGCATGCTCCGAGCACAAGGACCGAGCTGTCAGGTAGATCTCGGTCTACACTAACGATTGGTGGCCAAGGGTCTTGTGACCACTGTGACAGCCAATCACAGAGTTCACATGATCACCAATCCTTCCCTTTCCTCCGGGAGTACAGATCCTAATTAAACGGAAGCCAAGCTGGGTGGGAAGGGGTTAAAAACACGTTTGACTAAATCTGGAGTAAACATGCCCTAAATGCTTCTTTACTTTGCTAATTATGTCCCAGTATAAATGAATGGGATGTGTAAATAGCCTGGCAGCACTGAGATGTGTATGTACTCCCTGTGTTTGTGTAGACTTGCTCCAGGGTCTTCCTACAATCTTGAAGCACACTGTATTCATTGTCTGCTGTGTAAACTGGCTCTACTGATGACGTGGACATTAGATTGCAAGCTCTATAGGAAAGTAGACAGATATGAATAAGCAGAATTATTTTATGATATATGGACATTTTAAATTAAAGCTGAAATGTAATCTGCTTAGATTTTTTCCTTCCCTTATTCCTCCTTTTCCCCTCATGAACATGCTAACAGGGGCGGACTGACAACTCATGGGGCCCCCGGGCAATAGGGGATCATGGGGCCCCTGTGTCCTTGCCCAAACTCAAAAAAGCCTATGAAAAAGGTACCAGGGGCATCTCATGGGGCCCCCTACTGACCATGGGCCCTCGGGCAGTTTCCAAATGGTCAGTCCGCCCCTGCATGCTAATTAATATTTTAAGAAAAACATTTTTGTATTCATTGCATATGTTATTTTATACCTTATTTTAGACCTAGTGATGTCATGACAGAGCGCAGGGCTCAGGGGTACATAATACACAGACAGCAGGAGTTGGGAGTAATTAATGCACAGAGTGCAGGGGTTAGTAGTATGTAATGCACAGAGTGAAGGGGTCAGGAGTGCATAATGTACAGAATATGGGGGTCAGGAGTACATAAACCATGGGGCACAGGAGACAGGAGTATGTAATGCACAGAGTGCAGGGGTCAGGAGTATGTAACACAGACTGCAATGGTCAGAAATATATAACAGAGAGTGAAGGGGTCAGGGTATATAATGCACAGAGCGCAGGGGTTAAGGAATACATAACACACAGGGGTCAGGAGTATGTAATGTACATAGTGTAGGTGTCAGTAGTATGTAATGTACATACACTGTGTGCACAATTATTAGGCAAGTTGTATTTTTGAGGATTATTTCAGGGATTTAATTTCAGGGGTCAGGAGTACATAATGTATGGAGTGCAGGGATCAAATGTATGTAACACATAGAGTGAAGGAGTCAGAGTATATAAAGCACAGAGCAAAGGGGTTAAGGAATACATAACACAGAGAGCTAAGGGGACAGGAATATGTAATGTACATGGTATACATAGTTACCTAATTAGTCTGGCTGAAAAAAGACAAAAATCCATCCAGTTCAACCAAAAAAAAAAAAAAAAAAAGTTATAATGTTATACCCACAGTTGATTCAGAGGAAGGCAAAAAAAAACCAGCAAAGCATGATCCAATTTGCTCCTGCACGGAAAACAATTCCTTCCTGATCCCCCGAGAGGCAATTGGATATTCCCTGGATTAACTTTACCTATAAATGTTAGTATCCAGTTATATTCTGTGTACCTAAGAAAGAATCCAGGACTTTTTTAACCACTTGTCTAACGGGAACTTATACCCCCTTTGTGCCCAGGCCAATTTTCAGCTTTCAGCGCTATCGCAATTTGAATGACAGTTGCACGGTCATGCAACACTGTACCATATTACATTTTTATCATTGTTTTCACACAAATGGAGCTTTCCTTAAGTGGTATTTACTCGCCGTTGCGTGTTTCTATTTTTTGTGCTATAAACAAAAAATAACAAAAATTTAAATAAAAAAGTTTTCTTTGTTTCTTTTATAAAATTTTGCAAACAGGTAAATTTTCTCCTTCACTGATGTGCGTTGATGAGGCTGCATTGACAGGCAGCACTGATGGGCACTGATAGGCAGCATTGATGAGGTGGCACAGATATGTAGCACTGATCGGCACTGATAGGCGGCACTGATGAGCTGGCACTGATTATGCTGCACTGATATGCAACAATGATAGGCGGCACTGATGGGCAGCACTGGTAGGTGGCACTGATGGGCACTGATGGGTGGCATTGACTGAGAGGCACTGATGGGCACTAGTGGATGGCACTACTAGGCACTGATGGACACAGGTGGGTGGCACTGATGGGCACAGGTGGGTGGCACTGATGGGCACTTGTGAGCGGCACTGCTGGGTACCGATCATCAGGGTAGTGATCATCAGTGCTCTGATGATCGGTGCCGATCCCTTCTCTAACAATTGCTGGTTATCGGCAGTACTTTCCTCACGCTGTGACAGCGTGAAGAAAGTGCAGCCGATAACCAGCAAATGCATTGATCTGCTGTGTCATTGGACACGGCTGATCACGTGGTAAAAGGCCACTGTGATTGGTCTTTTACCACATCACGAGATCAGCTGAGATCGCCGGGTGCGCGCCCCTGGGGGCGGAAGGGAGGGCACGTTCTGGGAGGACATCATATGCAGTGAAGCCGTCATTTGGCTATCTGCGGTCGGCAAGTGGTTAAAGCAATCTACTGAGCTGGCCAGAACCAACTCTTGAGGGAGTCTATTCCACATTTTCACAGCTCTAACTGTGAAGAAACCTTTCCATGTTTGGAGATTACATTTCTTTTCCTCCAGACGTAAAGAGTGCCCCCTTGTCCTCTGTGATTACCTCAGGGTGAATAGCTCTAC